TATTCTCTAGCCCATGCCGTGCCCGTTTAGTCCCCTTTATCCAGCCGAACAAAAGCTGTCTGGGCATGCGATCGCTTGACATGCAGTCTCCATGACCCAGCCAATGCAGTCTTGCCTGCCAGAGGAGCTCACCGATGGGACTTTGTCAGGCTTTCAAGGATGCGAGCTCCTCACACAAACCAGCCTGGATAAACCCAGGATGGATTGTAGGCAGGCCAGCATGATATGTTTATAAAAGCCTAGGATGTTCCATTAGGGGGGGTCCACGTTCACAAGCAGAGAGAAGGGAGGGCATGATTGTGGCCGAGAAGACCCCAAGTTTCGTGTGGAGTGACAGGCCAGGTAGCTTCCACACAGCGTTAAGCGGCTGATGAAAAGATATTGCCGCTCGACTGATTCAGTGAGAACTCTGCTGTCAAACTGGAGCTGATCATAAGCACACTGCCCAGGTATGGAAACCTCTCCACTGCCTCCACAACTGTACCACTAATGGGGAGTTGAGGGGTGGAGTGTTTGATAACACAAAATACCCAGGCAGGTGCTTAGTTTTGGAGGGACTGATGGTTAGGCCCTACCTATTAGTAGCACACTCCAGGTCAAGCAGAAATGCCTCCAACTCCTGCTCTGAATGAGCAGCAATCACCAGATCATCAGCATACTTAACATGGTTAACCAAGAGGGAGCCATCCCTCGACCGCACCCGGGCATCGATCAGTCTCCCATTGTATCTGTACCAGATGGAGATTTGTCCGGTACAACCAAGAAATACTTCTGGAACTACGTGGTTGAAAAAAATATGTTAAATAATGTATGTGCCACACATTTACTCACCCACTTTATAGAACAGAGTACAGACTCCACACACTCACTCTGCAGAAGAGACAGAGAACATACAGACTCCACACACTCACTCTGTAGAACAGGGGGAGAACATATAGACTCCACACACTCACTCTGCAGAACAGGGTGGGACATACAGACTCCACTCACTCACTCTGTAGAATAGGGGAGAACATACAGACTCCACTCACTCACTGTGTAGAACAGGCAGAGAACATACAGACTCCATTCACTCACTCTGCAGAACAGGGGGAGAACATATAGACTCCACACACTCACTCTGCAGAACAGGGTGGGACATACAGACTCCACTCACTTACTCTGTAGAATAGGGGGAGAACATACAGATTCAACTCACTCACTGTGTAGAACAGGCAGAGAACATACAGACTCCACTCACTCACTCTGCAGAACAGGGGGAGAACATACAGGCTCCACACACTCACTCTGTAGAACAGGCAGAGAACAGACTCCACTCACTCTGTAGAACAGGGTGGGACATACAGACTCCACACACTCACTCTGCAGAACAGGGTGGGACATACAGACTCCACACACTCACTCTGCAGAACAGACAGAGAACATACATACTCCACTCACTCACTCTGCAGAACAGACAGAGAACATACAGACTCCACACACTCACTCTGCAGAACAGACAAAGAACATAGAGACTCCACTCACTCACTCTGCAGAACAGACAGAGAACATACAGACTCCACTCACTCACTCTGCAGAACAGACAGAGAACATACAGACTCCACACACTCACTCTGTAGAACAGACAGAGAACATACAGACTCCACACACTCACTCTGTAGAACAGACAGAGAACATACAGACTCCACACACTCACTCTGCAGAACAGGGGGAGAACATACAGACTCCACTCACTCACTCTGCAGAACAGACAGATAACATACAGACTCCACACACTCACTCTGCAGAACAGACAAAGAACATACAGACTCCACTCACTCACTCTGTAGAACAGACAGAGAACATACAGACTCCACACACTCACTCTGTAGAACAGGGGGAGAACATACAGACTCCACTCACTCACTCTGCAGAACAGGGGGAGAACATACAGACTCCACACACTCACTCTGCAGAACAGACAAAGAACATACAGACTGCACACACTCACTCTGCAGAACAGACAGAGAACATACAGACTCCACACACTCACTGCAGGACAGAGAACATACAAACTCCACACACTCACTCTGCAGAACAGACAGAAAACATACAGACTCCACACACTCACTCTTTAGAACAGGGGGAGAAAATACAGACTCCAAACACTCACTCTGCAGAACAGACAGAGAACATACAGATTCCACGCACTCACTCTCTAGAACAGGGGGAGAACATACAGACTCCACACACTCACTCTGCAGAACAGACAGAGAACATACAGACTCCACACACTCACTGCAGAACAGACAGAGAACATACAAACTCCACACACTCACTCTGTAGAACAGACAGAGAACATACAGACTCCACTCACTCATTCTGTAGAACAGGGGGAGAACATACAGACTCCACTCACTCACTCTGTAGAACAGACAGAGAACATACAGACTCCACACACTCACTCTGTAGAATAGAGGGAGAACATACAGACTCCACACACTCACTGCAGAACAGACAGAGAACATACAAACTCCACACACTCACTCTGTAGAACAGACAGAGAACATAGAGACTCCACACACTCACTCTGTAGAACAGACAGAGAACATACAGACTCCACTCCCTCACTCTGCAGAACAGGGGGAGAACATACAGACTCCACACACTCACTCTGTAGAACAGGGGGAGAACATACAGACTCCACTTACTCACTCTGCAGAACAGTGGGAGAACATACAGACTCCACAGACTCACTCTGTAGAACAGACAGAGAACATACAGACTCCACACACTCACTCTGTAGAACAGGGGGAGTACATACAGACTCCACACACTCACTCTGTAGAACAGACAGAGAACATACAGACTCCACACACTCACTCTACAGAACAGAGTGGGACATACAGACTCCACACACTCACTCTGTAGAACAGGGGGATAACATACAGACTCCACACACTCTGCAGAACAGACAGAGAACATACAGACTCCACACACTCACTCTGCAGAACAGACAGAGAACATACAGACTCCACTCACTCACTCTGTAGAACAGGGGGAGATCATACAGACTCCACTCACTCACTCTGTAGAACAGACAGAGAACATACAGACTCCACTCCCTCACTCTGCAGAACAGACAGAGAACATACAGACTCCACACACTCACTCTGTAGAACAGGGGGAGAACATACAGGCTCCACACACTCACTCTAGAACAGGGGGAGAACAAACAGACTCCACTCACTCTGCAGAACAGGGGGAGAACATACAGACTCCACTCACTCACACTCTGTAGAACAGGCAGAGAACAACCAGACTCCACTCACTCTGCAGAACAGGGTGGGACATATAGACTCCACTCACTCACTCTGCATAACAGGGTGGGACATACAGACTCCACTCACTCACTCTGCAGAACAGGGGGAGAACATACAGACTCCACACACTCACTCTGTAGAACAGGCAGAGTCATACATACACCACACACTCACACACTCACTCACCCAATTTGCAGAACCAAACTCCTCACAGAGTGAAGGCGGCCGAGTCGGGAATCGAACCCAGGCTGTCACTAGGGTGCCCACCCTGCTGCCCAAGCTGATCAATGACATCTAGGAAGTTATACTTTGTTTTATTATTGTTTTGTCAGGTAAGGCCCAAATGCTACGTAGCTCCTTTTCAGAAGCCACCTGGCCACAAATGATCGTTCAACGAAGCGGCGCGTCACCATCACCTGGGGATTTATAGCGGCAGCCACTCACACGGGCGCGTTGTGTACCCACACACTCACGCGTTGTGTACCCACACACACACGTTGTGTACCCACACACTCACACACGATGTGTACCCACACACTCACACACGATGTGTACCCACACACACACGGGCGCGTTGTGTACCCACACACACACGGGCACGTTGTGTAACCCACACACACGCGTTGTGTACCCCACACACACGCGTTGTGTACCCACACACACACACACGGGCGCGTTGTGTACCCACACACACACACACGGGCGCGTTGTGTACCCACACACACACACACGGGCGCGTTGTGTACCCACACACGGGCGCGTTGTGTACCTACTCACACACACGTTGTGTACCCACTCACACACACGTTATGTACCTACTCACACACACGTTGTGTACCTACTCACACACACGTTGTGTACCTACTCACACACACGTTGTGTACCTACTCACACACACGTTGTGTACCCACTCACACACACGTTGTGTACCCACTCACACACACGTTGTGTACCCACTCACACACACGTTGTGTACCCACTCACACACACGTTGTGTACCCACTCACACACGTTGTGTACCCACTCACACACGCGTTGTGTACTCACACAACGCGTGTGCGTCAATGCGCTTGTGGGTGTGGGGAGCGGTGGGGCTGCGGTTAGCGCTCCGCTGCGCTCCGAACCCATCGACCCCGAGTTGGATTCCCCAGCGACCGTTGACGGCGAATATTTGAACCGGTCCTGGGCTTCACCTAGGTCGACTCGGCCTTAAATAAGTCCCTGCTGCGATAGGCATCAGAAAGACAAAGGTGGCCCGGCATGGTGGTGGCCTTCTTAGGTGCTCGCTGACAGCACTTGCACCACAGCGGCCTGGTGAGAGGCTACACACGGGCAGTCTTCATCGGCATGAGCGCCCAACGCTCCGAACCCGGCGCTCCCCCAGTTGGACTCCCGCTCGCCGTGCCACCACCATCGCCACGTGACGATTATCACCTGAACCGTTCCTGGGGCATCCATCCTAGGTCGACTTGGCCCTAAAATGAGTGCCTGATGCGATGCGTTAAAACATCGTCACTGGGGGGGGGGGGGTGGGGGGGGGGAGACAAAGGCGGCCGGGCGTGGTGCTAGCCCACCCCCTCGTGTACTACGGTGCCGGCCTTCATAGGCGCTCCTCGCTAACAGCACTTGCCCCAACAGTCTGTCAAGGCTACACGGGTGTGTGGCGGGGGGGGATCTTTGTCTTTGCGTAGCGCTCACCTCGCAGCCCTTGCGTGAGCCCAACTCCGCTCTGACAACGACAGGGGCGAGATCCACCGTCTGTGCCGATGCCGACTGACGAGACGGCGACGTTCAAAGAGGTGATGACGGTGTGGAATTAGATGGTGGCGACGAAGCTGGTGGTGCAATGCTCCTGTTGAATCGACGGTGGCGATGATGGTGGGGATGATGGTGGTGCCGATGCGATGACGACGGTGGTGATGGTGACGATGATGGTGACGATGGTGATGATGGTGCCGACAATGCGCACTGCTGCGGCGGAGGTGGTGATGGTGGTGATGGGCTCGGGCTCCTGCACACGCGCACTGCTGCACCGCCGTGGCCCCCCCCTCCACCTCCCCTCTTCGCATCCCGCCTCTCTCCCTCCCTCTCCCCGCTCACATTACACCCCCCCCCCCCATCTCGCCTTCTCCCCATCACCCCATCGCCCGTCCAACTCCCTCCCCCCCCCTTATCTCCCCCCTCGCCAACTCCCTCCCCCCATTAACCTCCCCCCCCATCTCCCCCTTCCCCAATCTCTCTACACCCCATCAAACTCCCCATCTTCCCCCTCCCTATCTCCCTCCCCCCCCTATCTCCCTCCTCCCTCATCTCCCTCCTCCCTCATCTCCCTCCCCCTCATCTCCCTCCCCCCCTATCTCCCTCCCCCCCCTATCTCCCTCCCCCCCCCTATCTCCCTCCCCCCCTATCTCCCTCCCCCCCAACTCCCTGCCCCCCTTATCTCCCTCCCCCATCAACCTCCCCCCCCCCCTATCTCCCTCCCACCCTCTCTCCCTCCCACCATCTACCCCCCACCCTCTCTCCCTCCCACCATCTACCCCCCACCCTCTCTCCCTCCCCGCTCCCATTAAACCCTCTGCGCCATCCACCGCCCTCCTCTCCCCCTGCCAACGTTCTGCCGCAATCGGTTACCGGTTCCCAGACTCTCCTGACTCCCGGAACCGGTAACCAATTGCGAGAGGCGGTTACCAGTTTGGCGACCCCATCCACTCCACCCGTGAGTGGTGGGCACGACGCGGCAGACGACGCCGCCTCCTCTTTTATTGTGAAGTCGCCCCCCCCCCCCCCCCCCGTGGAGCCCGCCACGCGAAGTGCTTTATAGCTCATCGGATTCCTCCGGGATAGATATTCTAATGATTTCGAGGTAGCGTTTAGGGGAGCAGCATCTACGAAGCCCGGGCCGCCTTTGTCCCTCCCCCGGCCGGTGGTGATGTTTATTGCACACACCGCACCAGGTACTCGTTTGGAAGGCTCATCGTCAACTTGTGGTTGGTGCTGGCCGCGAGGGGGAATCAAACTCGGGCCGACCGGGCTTGTCACGGGGGCAGCGGAGTGCAGACCGCTGCACCACCGCTCCCCACAGAGAGATACACAAAGATCCCCCGTATAACCTTAACATACTGTATGGGGCAAGTGCTGTTAGCGAGTAGCAGCACCTATGAAGGCCGGAACGGCACTCGAGGGGGTGGGTGGCCAGCACCACGCCCGGCCGCCTTTGTCTTCCCAATAGTAATGTTTTTTACACACTGCACGAGGTACTCAGTTGAGGCTGAGTCTACCCAGGGGAGCCTCAGGACCGGTTCAGATAATCGCCACTGATGTTGACCGTGAGCGCAGCGCGCTAACTGCCGCACCACCACTCCCCACCACCACCACCATCACTCACAGGCAAAGGAAATTCTAAAGGGGATAGGGCGGCCCTGTAGAGACTGGCGGAGATTTGGCCTACTCTTCCTACGCTGGTCGAACGTCTTGCATGTAGGGTGGGAATACCAACTTGACCCCACCACAAACAGTCGGCCGGCCAGGTACGTGAACACACGAGTTTGCTGCGCTGGTGCCCCCTCCTCCCCTCCCCAGTGCTGCTACCCTGGTCGGGTTTTGGAGCTGAGTTGGGCTCACACAAAGGGCTGGGGAGAGCTGGAGATGGGGTTTGGGGTTATGGCTGCGCATGGCCACTACTCCATAATAATCACCGCCACAACTACCACCATCGCCGCCAAAGACAAAGGTCCCCCGTATAGCCTCATACTGTTAGGGCAAGTCCGTCTCTATGGGGCCGTCCATAAATGACGTCACGCACCTGGGGGGGGGGGGGGTCAGACATTTGTGACGATGTGTGACGAGGGGGGGGGGTTTGAGAAATGTGACGTCACATCAAAACGCGCAACTTTAAATAAATATAGAATTCTTATAACACTACATTTTTTTTTATTAATTTTCATTAGCTATTTGATTATTTAAATTTACTAAGGTCACCTTTTGTTTATTCCATGAAGGAGCATTTTGCTTCTCCATGGGAGAATGGAGAAGCATAAATTTTGAAAATTCGTTTAATGATTGTTATTAAACATTGAGTCTAATGATTCTACCAGGGTTTTCATTCTGTGCAATGACTCTGATTGTTATAATTGTACTCTCCATTTTGCTTCGTTCTACTACAAAGTTTCAGGTATTTTTTATAGTTATAATTACTTTAAATATTATATAATTATAAGATAATTTCAATATAATATTCTGAAATCTGCAGTTTTAGTTAGACGTTGAATATTTTCAAGTGAATTTTATGCTAAATGTAAGCTTTCCAACGCCTCCTTTTTAATAAATGTTTTCCCCTACGACATCAGAGTGCAGCGCCACATTAAATACGCACTACAATGACAATAGTTTAAAGCGATTTGAAACATGCTTTATTTTCAAAATGGGAATTTTTTTGGGGGGGGGGGCAGAGCTTTGTGACGTCATATTTGAGGGGGGGGGGGTCTGACGTTTTGTGACGCCGTGTGACGAGGGGGGGGGGGTTAAAAATCGTTCAAAATCGCGTGATGTCATTTATGGACGGCCCCGATGCGGTATAAACTCAGGGTCAGGATTCGAACCCGTACTTACGCTGCTGTCTGTGCGAAACCACGAGTGACCCCACTGGGCGCTGTCTCCTCCAGAGTGAAAACAAATGATAGCGAAAGCAGCCCCCCCCCCGTCCCCCGTTCTATCCGGCACTTTTACCATCCGGAAAGTTTCTATTAACCGGCATCGGTCCCCATAGACAAATCTTAGGGCGCCACGGCGGCGAGGCGATGTCTTGCCTGCCGGAGGAGCTCGCCATTGGAATGGTGGCGAGACGTTAGGGGCCGTCCATAAATGACGTCACGCGATTTTGGACGATTTTTGACACCCCCCCTCAAATATGACGTCACAAAGCTCTGCCCCCCCCAAACAAATATAAAAACATGCTTCAAATTGCTTTAAACTATTGTCATTGTAGTTCGTATTTAATGTGGCGCTGCACTCTGATGTTGTAGGAGAAAACATTTATTAAAAAGTCTATTTAATTAAGTAGAACGTGTCGTCTATTTATTGAAAGTTGCGCATTTTTGTGACGTCACATTTCTCAACCCCACCACCCCTCGTCACAAATGTCTGACCCCCCCCCCCCCCAGGTGCGTGACGTCATTTATGGACGACCCCTTAACGCTCCCGCCTGGAATACAAAAGGTGGTGTGGGTTCGATCCCGAGCCCGTTGTATTTTCAGAGTTTTGCGTCTCTCCCCGTGGTCGCGTGAATTTTTCTCCGGATCCGTTTTTCCCTGCACATTTAAAAGCGTGCGTTTAGATTATTTAGCTGCTATAAATGCCCACATGATGGTAAGCCACTTCGTTGAGCTATTATCATTTGTGGCCAGGTCGCTTCTGGTAAATAACTACACAGCTAAGTTGGCTTTACCTGGTAAAATGAAAAATAAAATTTGTTTTAGACAAATCTGAGACGAATCTTCCTTCATCCGTATTCGGAAAAAAATAATTCCCGACAGTCATCGGGCATCTTGCGGTGCGTGCGCTTCACGTCAGATCCGTTTTGCCAGGGAGCTGTTTGCTCACGGCAGTCTGTACGCAACTACTTCTGATTAGCAACGATTGTCTACGTACGGTGCGAGAGATGTTCAACATACACTACACTACATTGAAAACTAAAGTTCAACATACATACACTACACATTATGCTACTAGCTACACTATAAGCGACTAAATTGAAAACTAATTTATTTAGAACTGGTTGTTGTGTTTAGTTTGTTGTTCTTCCCCGCACCTCCGATAAGCAACGGTTGGCTACGTACGGTGCGAGATAAGTTCAACATACACACAGTAGAGTACGACTCCATCCTGTATACTCGAAACGGTCCCAATTAACTCAGTATGGCTAGTCAGTACCTGATGTAAAAAATATATATAATTTGTCACAGTTACAGAAAAAATGTAGGCTTAAGTTTATTTCTTGAAAAGGTGTATTGTATGTACTTGGACAATTTTCTGAATCATAAGTATGTATATAGATAACTGTAAGATAACCGGCATACTTAATGAACCAGCAAACCCTCCATTGGATGCCGGAGATTTTTGCTGCGATAGTACAATTTGAACATTTGATTCTTGCAATGATCCGTTACCCAAAATGCACCACGTGAGAATGTAAAACAGGAAGTCGCGGGGAAGTCGGCAGCCGAGCAGTTGTCCCCTCGAGAGTTCCCAGGGCCTGGGTTCCACTCCGGGTTTTATCTCCAACCCACAGAGAGACCCCATCAGAGTATCGAGACGGGCAACAATGGCTGTACATTCTACAAACTACACGAGGGTCGCCCCTCGATCTACCAACGAACGTTCCCGCCTCGCGACATTGTGCGTTAACACAATTGACAAATAAATTATTAATGGAAAACACGAAAAGATTATTATTTTTCCCCGTTCACGTGGAATTTCACTTTGGGCACGTTGCAATGGAGACCGATGTAATGTGTTAAACTTCTTACGCACACAACGCGGTGGTGGTGGTAGTTGTGGTGGTGATTGTGGTGGTGTTTGGTGATGGTGATTGTAGTAGTGGTAGCTGTTGTGGTGTTTGTTGATGGTGGTAGCTGTTGTGGTGTTTATTGGTGATGGTGGTGATGGTGGTGGTATTGCTTGTAGTGGTGGTAGCTGTTGTGGTGTTTAGTGATGGTTATTTGGTGGTGGTGTTTCGTGGTGGTGGTGGTGGTGATGGTGTGGGGAGCCGTGGCGCAGTGGTTAGTGCGTTGCGCTATGAACCCGACAGAGTTTGATTCCTGCTCACGGCCTCCCAACCTGATGACCTCCAAAACCAGTACCTGATGCGGTGTTTAGTAAACTATGGAGATAAAAGGCGGTCGGGCGTGGTGCTGGCCACCCACCCCATCGTGTGCCGTGCTGGCCTTCATAGGCGCTGCTACTCGCTTACAGCACTTTCTCCAACAGTCTTGTTCAGGCGACACAGAGGACCTTTGTCTTTTGGTGGCTATGGTGGTAGTTGTGTTGTTGTTGGCGGAGGTGGCAGTTGTAGTTACAGGGGATA